TGGTGTTTAAGCTTCTGTGCTGAACCTATATGCTGCTGAGTTGGGATTGCTAGTATTTTGTTGACGTTTTTACATTGGTTGATTGAGTGTGCTGGAGTTCTAACTTAGGGCCTCTCTGATGCTAGTGCTTTAAGAATATATTCTTTCTTTTTCTTTTCTTTTCTTTTGGTTTTTCTCCTGTACCGGGAATCAAACTCACGACCTTGCGCTTGCCAGGCAGGCACTGTGCCACTGAGCTAAATCCCCAGCCCAAGAATATATTCTTTAGTTTCTTCACATTTGTGAATTTTCCAGTTTTTCTTTTATTAATGACTTCTGGTTTCACTCATTATCAGAGAAGACACTGTATGACTTCAGTTTTTTACCTGCCAGACTCAAGTCATTGTGTGGTGACTCCAATGTCTTTGCTCCCTCAGAGACAGTTTCTGATAACTTCTTTTGGGAATGGGGCATACTTTCTGGTTTCTATCCATGCTTCATATATTTTTGTTGAAAACTGGACATTTTCAATATTAACAGGTAACTCTGGAAATCAAATTCATACCTCTCCCCAGGGTCTCTTTTATTGTTTGTATAAGCTATAGATACTTGCTTAGAAACTTTTAAAACTTACAGCTGTAAATGGGTCATGCTAAAGCCTGCCTATAATCCCAGCACTCAGGAGGCTGTGGCATGAGGATTGCCATGAGTTCGAGGCCAGCCTGGATTATGTAGTGAGCTCAAGGCTAGCCTGAACCACATAATGAGATCCTGTCTCAAAACAAACAAACAAACAAAGAAAACTATAGCTGTAAACTCTGTTGTCATATGTGGTCTCTGAAGTCTGTTTCTTTAGCTGGTGGTCAGCCAGTGTTTTGACAGATTTCCTTGAACATCTAGAACTAAAAAAAAGGAAGGTTAAAAAAGAATGGAAAGAAAAGTTCTTCCAGCCTTTGCAGGTTTCTCTCTGTTGGAGTTCTCCTTCAACATCTAGCTTAGCTGTTTACAGCTCTGCCTTAGCCCTCGCTTCCCACTTGTGTGGTCCTAAAGATCAAAAAACTAGGGCTGGGGATATATAGCTCAGTGGCACAAGTGCCTGCCTAGCAAGTGCAAGGTCCTGAGTTCAATTCCCAGTACCAAACAAACAAACAAACAAAAAACCCCAGAAAACTTAGGGTCTTCTCAGGTCTCTTCTGAACGTGCATCTTGCCATGCATTCATATGACTTTTTATTAGTAGTATATGTTGGTGGTACATAGTAGATACATTCATCATAGGAAATTTATCTAATCTTTATTTTATTTCTCCCTCTCCTTTCCTACCTTCCCTCTCCCTCCATCCCTGGATTTCCTTCCCATCTGCAAAAGGTCTATTTCTGTTTTCTATCATTTATTTTGTTTTTATTTTTTAATTTTTTTATTTTAAAGAGTAAAAGAAGGATAACATAATAATAGGAGGGGCTTACCAAATTACAGACAAAGTGGTAGGAAATTATCAATGGTTATTGTTTTACATATTGTTGTCTATAAGATAGTTTCTCAGGAAAGCAAATAGACAAATGATAGTGAGTTACAGACAAAAGAGGTA